TAGCATTGGTTGCTTGATGAATAGACCCGCGCTTCCCAAGTACGGACATCCATTGAGTGCAAGATTGGAGGAAGGTGTGAATATGTGTGAATTGTTTTGGTCATCGCCCGAAGGTAAGGCAGTGCTTTGTGTTGTCACGAAAGCTAGCGAAGCTAGCTGGAGTTACTCTTGCGATAGCAAGGTTTCTTTCGACCGGGTGCAAATCCTAACCCCTGATTTTTCAGGTCGAACCCTCCCCTCCGCCCCTCTCCCCTCCTCCCCTCTCCCCTCTCCCCGCCCCACCTCCCCTCTCCTCCTCCTTGTCTTCCTCCCACCTTCCCTCCCTCCCTCCCTCCTCCCTCTTCGCAAGTTCGACTCCGTCCTGTCGTCGCTCTTTGGCATGCGGTTAGCGTTGCGTATCTTGCGGCCGCACTCGCTCACTCTCACTGTCTCACTGTCTCACTGTCTCACTGTCTCTCTCTCTCTCTCATCTCTCTCATCTCTCTCATCTCTCTCATCTCTTTCTCATCTCTCTCATCTCTCTCTCCTCTCTCTCTCTCTCTCTCCTCTCTGTCTCTCGTCTTTCCGTCTCTCTTCTCTCTCTTCTCTCGCAGGAGGATCCGGGCAAAGAGCCACATATAAAGGACTCTTCACCCCTGCCTCCAAAAAGAGCGCCGTGATTTTTCCTACCTCGCTGCCCTCCACTTTCCCATTCTGGAGCGCTAGCTTTCGCCCCCCCCTTGGCCTCAAGTCTTCATTTCTGGAATGTTTGTCACCAACTCCCTACACTTCCAACCACTATTCATTCAATAGCCTAACAGCCAAATAGCCACTGTTTTACTAGAGGATTTACACGACAACATCAGGTCCCAGGGGTCATAAAGGGGTGATGTTTGGTCCCTAAGTGAGTGGATAATGGGCACCCCTAGCCTCCAAGTTCGGCACCCCTTTGTGACTCCTGGTCAACCAACTTTAAGATTCCTTTTCAGCCCAGAGAACTAGATCAAGTGTCCAAAGACCAGAGACAGAGGTCTTGTGGAATCAATGCTCCCCTTTTTTGCATTGGGACTTGATGGCGGAAGAACTCCTACATACTCCTACAATCACTTGGAGTTTTGTTCCACGCCGCAACATTCAATTTTGTCTTGAACATCAACAGATAACCCCCTCAAGTTTGGAACATCTCGACTAGTTCTTGGATTGACCCCCCCCTCAGCCTTTGGGACTTCAACCGTTTTCATGATCGGCATCATCGGCGCTGTTCGTGTGACCCCAGGAACTGCGTGCTGGTCACCCACGGCTGCTGGGATGGAGTGTCTGGGGAGTGCTCAAAGGGGACTCCCTGGTTTTCGCCAAAAAAGTTTGTTATGTTTGGTTTGTTTTTTTTCTCGGGTGAGTTTCCCTGGCAATGGTTGTATTTGCATGCAGATTGCTAGAGCCTGGATTGCTAGTGGGATCGTTTGTGCATGAAGCTGTTGAACATGAACCTTTGCAGTAGGTAGGAGATTCTTCTCGGAGATTTTGGAGATTCTTTGCCAGAAGGTTTTCTCCAAGTCGGGTGGAGCCAAGAATCAAGCAACATCGCGGCACACCCCTTGACCATATGTTCAGCTCTCTGATAGATGTGTCATTCGTATGTCCTTCTGATCAACACCCCATTTGTTGGACCATCAAAGGAACGAATGCACCACCAAACTGTTTTTTTGCAGAAGGAGTAACCATTGACATATAGAGGAGCTTACCTGGACCTTCAAGGGGTGTCCTGTCTGGAGGTCCCTTAGTAGTGAAATCGCTTGATGTACCCCTTATAGGTCGGCTTCCTGTCAGAGACGCGAGCCAAGCTTGCCGAGCTTAGGCCACATGGTGCAAGTTTGTGCTACACTCTTGCCTGCTATGCAGCATCGAAAGGTGCAGGGTACAGTGCAGGGTACGTTTGAGGGAGAAGGATTCGTTTTGGGACGTTTGCATAGAAGGGAAGTAGAGTGAACCAGAATCGGAATACTGCACACATAGAGTTTCGTGGAATCCTCTCGCCTTTTTGTGTGTTTTTTGTTGGTCATGTTTCCCAATCAAAAACAGCACGCTCAGTTCGCGTACATGACACTGTCATACCTCAAAGCTCCCACACCAGTGGAAGAGTCGACTCCAGTGGAGGAAGAGTCGAGGAGCCAACATCGGTTCCAGACGATCCATGGGATGATATGGGATGGCTTTCATGGCACCCTCATGGCTTTCCAGACGAGCCCGTTTCACTCATCCGCAGGTAGGTTAGACTAGCTCCGCAGGTCGTTGATTCTGTTGGGCAATTCTGTGGGACAAAGTCGGGTCATCTGGTGTTCATCCACAGCCCAACATGAAAACCACCAACAACCACCAGTCATGGGACGACCCCAAACATGGAGACACTGGCAGCGTTTTTGCATGGATCATGTTGTTTTTCATGGGAAGGGCGGTCGTTGCCTTCAGATCCATTTTAGATACAGGCTGCCGTGTTTTTGTGGATGTTGTATACTATATATTGGTGTTTGATGTGTTTACGAGGGGGGTCACACTAGTGATGAACTTGCTTGGGTTCTGATGTTGTATTTACCCTATGGATGAATCCCCTTCTGGTGAGCCGTGGTGAGCCCATCAGATGGGTCCGTCGGGGGTGACTGATCAAGGCCCGTCATGGTGTCATCCGCGAGGCAGATGCTGACCGTTTCCCCCAGTTCAGCCTTGGGATCATCCACATCCTCATGAGAACAGACCATCAACAGAGCTCCTGTGAGGTGATTGGCCTTTGAAAAGATGGTACTTTCAACTTCCAACAATCCCCCAGATCAAAGAATTCCGAAGTGGACGCTGGAATTCCTACAGTCACTCACACCGTGAACCCAATCCTTTTGACCGAAAATCCCGGTCTTCCCAGTCACTACCTGGACCCGACTGACCCAGTACTTTAGAAAATGGGAGTCTGACCCGAACAAAAAACAGGTCGATTTGTACCCATTTTCTGAAGTACTTATACTGCCCTAGGGATCCAGTCGTACCTTCTCAGGTACGGTGATTGGAGACTCTTTATGTAGGCACCAGGAGGGCCCAGTCGTACCTCCTGAGAAGGTATTGGGATTCCTAGGGCTGAGACTCCAGGTCGGCTCCACCTTCGCTCCTTCGCGCTGTCGAACGGATCTCGCCCCTGCAGGTGATCTCCGTCGACTATGCTGCCGCTGTGCTGGCCGTGTATCACAAGGTGCGGTGCGGCTGGAGCTCGGAGCTGGAGCGAGGTGGTGGAGGTGGTGGGAGGGCATTTGCGTTGGATTTCCGGAGGAGGTCCAGACTCCAACCTAGTCCCCTGCAGGTTCATGGTACCCCAGGCCCACTAGAGGAACATGCTCGAACTCACAGGTCAATTCTCAGGTTCCAGAAGAGTACTGGGATGAACCGTGGGCTTATAACATTTGCTAGAACTTATGAGGTGAGTTATAAGTGTTATAACATTTACAGGTCCAAGTTATAACCACTTACAATCATGTACATTATTGCTAAATTCATAAGTGGTTATGGTATACAAAAATAGTATTCAAAAGTCAAAACATGTGTATGTAAAAGTACTGATGTTTGTTTTTTTATTCATACTAAGATGTATGCCAGACATACTATCCTGCATATATATGGGTTACAACCAAACACTACCTATAGTAAAAAAATATGATTTTTTTTTAAAATATAACAACAAACTTTAGACAAAACAAAATCAGCAACTGCCAAATTGAAAACAAACATCCTGCAAATACTTTGCTGCACATTTTTACTGAACAACCACTTATAAAGTTTACCATGTCGCCCTTGCCATGTGCACAGGAAAACTTCAAAGGTGTACGTTGTAATTTTGTTCAACATCAAAACCAAAAACATACACAACATGTATTTCAAGCCATTTAGGCTTCATGAAAAGTTGTTGGTTCATTGCTCACATAAACTGAATTGTCATATTATTGTTTTCTCTACAAACATTTGCAAAGGTACTGTTATATGTCCTGCTAAACCCTTGCAGTTTTGCAAGGGTCCAAGAAAGAGATGCTATACAGCAAACTAATTATGGATCTTCTGGAACTTGTGCTTGTTCATCATGCTCACCTTGTAGGACTTTCTCTTAAAGTTATTCTTCCTCTTGAGCAACTTGAGCATCTTGGCCTTCCACTTGCAGATGTGGTATTTCTTCTCTTCCAGTGTTGTCCAAACCCTCCTCCAAAAGGTGCTTGTCCAAATTCTCTCAAAGGTCTGCAGTGTCCCTGGACAAACCCATTGCTCAATCCAAACTTGAGGCATGCTATAGACAGGGCTTTGACAGATCCAAACTTGCTGCCATAAAATGTAGACAAACCATGCCCTGATCAGTAGCCACATGGCTTGATAAAGCACATTTGCTTGAACTATGCATGGACATGACATGTGCATGGCCTACATGACAAACACATGGCAAAGTTGAAAAGCCACATGGCTTGATAAAGCTCAGTTGCTTGAGTGCAAATATCTCATATATGCATGTGACCATGCATGGCACTATGCAAAACTTGTAGGCTGCTCCTATGGTTTCCCAATGACACAGGTTTTGAAGAACATATGTGGCGCATTGAGAGCACTGGTTTTATTCCATAGCATTTGGCAGTTATCTGAAATTGAATGGGATGATGACTTTGTACATAGAGTCTTTCCAG